AAAAATAAACAAAAAAAAAAAAAAAAAAAAAAAAAAAAAAAAAAAAAAAAAAGCTTCATATAAGACCATTTGTTGCATCATATCATCAAAAAGAAAAGCACAGTGTCCGGCTTGCTAACCATTTACACCACTTCTAGGCTCATCTTATCTCCAAGGGTTGTATGCTATGTTATGGAGACACTCAAAATATGTGATGTTCCAATAACGTAACATTATAATGAAAACTCCAAACCATTTTTGATACATCCTATAATAAGCATGTCAGCACAGACACACACACACACACAGAGTACACACATGTCTAATTACTGAAAGTTGCTTAGTAATTTCTCACCATATTTCTCAATCACATAAATATGTCAGAGCAACACACCCAAACTAGAAATGTAGACCCTGAATACATCTTCCAGCATGACACATTTACCCAGTCATTGATTTACTTAGACAACTGGCTCACTAAATGATCCAGAACAAATAATTTAGCAAAAAGGCAATTAAATATATATATATTGAAGATGTACCTCTGGTAACCTGTTTCAAGTCCAGCTTTTAGAATCATGCCCGAGACAACAATTCCCGCAAGGGGATCTAGAAACTTCACACCAAGAATAGATCCTCCTAACATCAGGAAGAGTAATCCATGGGTAATCCATGGTCAGTGAGTGATCATGAAATTCAACCACATTAGGGGTCTGAGGACTTGAAAATTTTTAAATTCAGAAATAATTGAAAAGGCCACAATAAATGAACTCGCTCAGTTTCTTCTCAGAGACATGTACACAAATAAAAAATCTGCTCCACACAAATTTTTATTTTTTATTTTTAAATTCCCGCAAGGGGATCTAGAAACTTCACACCAAGAATAGATCCTCCTAACATCAGGAAGAGTAATCCATGGGTAATCCATGGTCAGTGAGTGATCATGAAATTCAACCACATTAGGGGTCTGAGGACTTGAAAATTTTTAAATTCAGAAATAATTGAAAAGGCGACAATAAATGAACTCGCTCAGTTTCTCCTCGGAGACATGTACACAAATAAAAAATCTACTCCACAAAAATTTTTATTTTTTATTTTTAAGTAAGTCACCATGCATTCACATGACAAATAAATGCAGTCTTGGTTTAAAATATATAACCCAAAAAAAAAAAAAATCATTACCATTTAATGGTCATTATGAAAGATTTTTATTTAACTAAAATATGCAAGAACACTCTTGAATTTAAGTAAATCTATAACCAAGTATTTAATATTGAGCCAAAAAGGGAACAGGACTGACGCAAACTCAACCAAACAGGTGCACGCACTGTTTAGTGATAAAACCAGCAAGCATATAACATATCAACAACAATTCATCTAGGAGAAGAATAGGATGAATTTGACAAAAAAAATTATGCAGCATCAGCTACCCATATTGGTAACATACTAGAAGAAATAAAAACTAAAATAAGGCTTCAAAGAATGTCATTCTCTGCGATAACCTACACCACAAGGAGAACAGTTTAATTATACCTTTTCAATAGCATCTCAAATTGCACACTGCAATGATCAACACCCATTGTACTGTACTACCAATCTCATTCAACACCAATATTAACCAAAAATAATCTCTCATATAAAGTTAAATTTCATCACAATAAACAAAGGTCCTCACCAACCCCAATGAGAGCAACAAACGAGGAAACAGCATCTGCACGATGATGCCAAGCATTTGCTTTCATCAATCCACTGCCTTCCCTTTCCCCTGCTCTCTTGGTTATCCAGTATAGCCTATGAGTAAAACCAAACATGCAGATGTAATGATGATGAAGCAACCAAAAGAACAAACAATATTATATTACTCAAATAAAATATTAAACATCCCAGAAACTCATACATAGCATAATTATCTACCATGGATTGCAATATGTACTCACATGAATCATGATAGTAACATAAATTGGACCCACATCTAGTGCCAGAATGAGAGATAGAAACAAAGAGAGAACCCAATTCATAACGAATGAATTCAAAATTTGAAATAGGGAACAAAACTTCTTTTAAATTTGTTCAATACTTCATTGCATTCTAAAGGTCAGAAAAGAAAAGAGGTACAACCACACAAACATCAATAAAGAAGCAAATTAGCACTTGCACATTAAATCCAAAAAAATAGGACACTGGTCCACTTTTTAGGAAAGTACAATAAGAGCACAATTTTTAATTTAATTAATTTAAATAAATTGAGTACCCTTCTTTAACGGATATTGATATTATAGTCATATTCAAAGCTAGGACAGGGTGATCCATGTCAATTCCATGATGATGCCCGCCATGATGATGGTTATGCATGTGCCCATGACCTAATGACTGATTTACTATTTCAGGAGATGCTGACAACAATCCCTGCAGATAAAATATAAAGAATTCTGAGGGAATAAAAGCAATTATATAAAACATACCAGATTCAGAATCTGTTTTAACCTCAATAAATTATCAAGATAAGAAACATGGCAGTAGA